AAGCTTCCAAGCCTCAGTTATCGATGTCTGCGTGGGGACCTCATTGAAGTATACAAGTATACTCATGACTTATACAAGGTCCCAGAAGGATTACTAGAATTTGAAACAAGAACCAACACCAGGGGCCACAGCTATAAACTAAAAAAACAGCGTTGGAACACATCCCTGCGGCAACATTTCTTCTTGCTTTGAGTCACCGACATGTGGAACAGCCTACCTGATAGCATCGTTGACGCTCCGAGTATGAACATCTTCAAAAACAGACTAGACGAAGCTATGCAGGAGTATATGTTCAGTCTTAAAATGCCAAGCAAATTATGGACCAGGCAATAAGTCCAGCAGGTATCTCAATCAATCGTCAGCTATGGAAAGATTGGGTTCCGGCCAAAGGCCGGATCCCTTGTGAATCAAGTCACAAAAAGTTCAAGAATCAGCAACAGGCCATGGGCCTATTTCTTCTGTGCTGACACTTCTATTCTATTCTATTCTAGAGCATTAGAGGCTTAGAGGCACAATATTTCAGAAAAAGCATGAATTTTCCTAACTATTATCCTTACATTTCTGTAAATAGGGTAAATGCACCATATTCCAACACTGTGGGTAATTCCAACACCCCTAAACTTTTTCCTTTATATTAAGCTTGGTCTTAGTTCCACGCATGCGTAGATGGTTGAAATAGTGACGTCATACTATTGCACACCAGATTTCTGCAAAACACTAGGTCTAGCAGGAAAATGTTAAGATCCGCAGAGCAAATGTCCAAGTCAACTAGTGAGAACATCGAAACATGTATGAAAGTTGATAGTTTACCTTGCTTTACTAAATGTGTGGAAAGAATATTTTGGTTTGAGACTTTTAAATAAGTCTGTGAATTTATTAGGAATCCTTTAAGTATACTTGTATTTGCTGATTTTAAGTGGTAAATAAATTAATAGATGATTGATTTAAGAGACACTTTTAAACAATTAAAAACCAATTCCGACACATGGTGTCAAAAATACGACACATAGGGTGTTGCCGTGTCGGAAATATGACACAGGGTATCGTTTACTGTCATATTCCAACACAGCTCACACAGGGTGCCAGAATTCCAACACAAGGTGTCGGAATTATGAATTATGATTTTGAAGTGCTGTTGGAATTTGTCTCACAATATGCCGCATTTAGTCACACACACTGTTGGAATTGAGCAATTTTGTAGATTGGAATTCTAAAGGCTTTTAAATAAATATGGCAACAGTTTGTGATGTTTCATCATTACTGGCGCATAGTGTGGTGTTTTGAGAGTGACGTAAACGAATCAGAACTCGAGTTGCGCATATGGTGATCTATTTATAGCCATTTATTTCTTGCTACGTCCTTAAGGTGTCAGAACATGGTGTGTTTACCCTAACTGAATATGCCATTGAGTATTTACAATGACCTTGTCCACTGCAAGCTTCATATCAGCAGCCGTACAGCATTTCTTTTGTATCTGTAAGCTCACAGGATGGCTTGTAATTTCACACCATTATAATTGGGCCAAGTGAATTCACTATAACAAAAAAAAAAAAAAAGCTTGTAAAAACTTACCTGAAACAGAAAGGAATATTTTAGTGACAACCATCATATTGTTTGGAGAAATAAATCAAAGTTTAAGTTAATTACTTTTCATTCTATGTTGCACAGTGCACAATTCTATCTATCACATTCTATGCACAATTTTGTGATAACCAATGATGCATTGATTTTTTGTTGAGTTAAATTTTTTCGCTGAGAGATTTAAATGTAATCAAAATTTTTGTCATTAATTGCTTTTTCTGTTACTGGAGCCTTTTCTAATCAAGGTTCTACTGTAAATACATTTTCAGGGGTGTCCCTTATATCTTGTTGAAATGGCCTCTATTTTTTTGGAATGAGATACACAAATTCCGTCAATCACATTTTTAAACCAACTCCTGTGTGCAACTTTTATGCAAGTAAAATTTTTTAATACAGCAAATATTTTTATAGTATAGGCCTTAGCAGAGATACCATCAAACAGAGTAACAAGGGAATGTTTCGAGCATTTTTCCTTAATAGCTTCTTACCATGAAACATAGCATAAATGAGTTTGGGCTCATTTTAAAGGTATTTGTAAGGGCTATTGAATGGCATCACTGAAAAAATTCCATATGCTATTTGTAAGGTGAAAGACGCAAAATAAAAGCCTCCTGAACTAACCCTGGTATGGTAATGGGGTAATAAGGGATGCTTGAAATAAAACCCAATTTTAAAACATTTGAAGCGTGCAGAGTGTGCTCATCCATTACTAACAGCACTCTAAAGTCTTCCTCTTACTTTGTTGATGATGTAGATGTAGAATAAATGATATTTTCTGTGATTTTTACTTGTTTTTCCTTAATTGATATGATTTTAACTTATCCATACATTACCGTATTATTGATTTGATATTACCTAATCCATGGACATGCCATTGAGCATTGACAACAACCTTTTCCACTGCAAGCTTCATATCAGCAGCAAGGTAGCATTTCTTTTGTAGGTAAGCTTACAGGAAGGTTTATAATTTTGCACCATTTTAATTGAGTCAAGTGAATTCACCCTAACAAAAAAAAAAAAAAAGAAAGATTGTAAAAACCATACCTGAAACACAAAGGAATATTTTAGTGACAACCATCATATTTTTTAAGAAAAAAAATCATAGTTTAGGTTAATTACTTTTCATTCTATCTTTCCCAGTGAACAATTCTATCTATGACATTCTATGCAAAGTTTGGTGATGACCGATGATGCACTAGTTTTTTGTCAAGCAAAATTTTTTCGCTGAGCAAGGCAAATCTAAGCAAAGTTCTTTGTTGTTAATTGATTGGTTTTGTTAACTGGAGCCTGTGCTAACCAAGGCTCTATTGTAAATGGGTTTTAGGGTTGTCTCTTATTACATCGCAGCAGATGTCCCTTATTACCCCGTCATGCGGAAATGGCCACCATTTTTTTCTGGGATGAGATACTCTAATTCTATCAATCACATTGTTAAGCCAACACCTGTGTATAATTTTTATGTACATAAAAATTTTTAATACGGTGAATATTTTTTTTTGCTGCAGACCTTAGCAGAGATACTTTAAAATCTCGCCTTTCACACTTTTTTGTAAGGATTTTTTAGAGGTACTGTCAAACGGGGTAAAAAGGGATGTTTTTGAATGTTTTTTGTTAATAACTTCTTACAATGAAACATTTTAGAAACAAGTTTAGGCTCATTTTATAGCTCTTTGCAAGGGCTATCCAATGACATCTTCAAAAAAATTCCATATGCTATTTGTAAGGTGCCAGACGCAAAATAAAACTGTCCTGATTTACCCCTGGGAACGGGGTAATCCGGGACACTTGCAATAAAAGTTAATTTTAAAACATTTGAAGCATGCAGAGTGTAGGTACTCATCCAATACTAACAGTACTTTGAAGTCATCTTTCATTGTAGATGATGTAGAGGTAGAATAAATGACATTTTCTGTGATTTTTACTTGTTTTTCCTTTATCGACATTATATTACCATATTCATTAATTACCGTTTTATTAATGTGATATTACTGTATCCATGGACATGCCATTGAGCATTGACAACGACCTTGTCCACTGCAAGCTTCATATCAGCAGCCATGTAGTATTTCTTCTGTATCTGTAAGCTTACAGGATGGTTTGTGGTTCGCACAATTTTAATTGAGTCAAGTGATTTCACTATAACAAAAAAGATTGTGAAAAACATACCTGAAACAGAAAATAATGTTTTAGTGACCACAATCATATGTTTTGGAGAAATAAATCATAGTTTAGGTTAATTACTTTTCATTCTATGATGCCTGGTGCACAATTATATATATAGCATTCTATGTACGTACAATTTTGTGATGACCGATGATGCACCAATTGTTCGATAAGTGAAATTTTTTTCGCTGAGCGAGTGAATTTTTTTTCACTGAGCAAGGTAAATGTAATCAAAATTCTTTGTTGTTAATCAATTTTTTTTTAACTGGATCCTTTGCTAACTGAGGTTCTACTGTAAATGCATTTTTAAGGGTGTCCCTAATCACCCCGGTGGGTGTCCCTTTTTACCCCGTCACGCGGAAATGGCTGCCATTTTTTTTAATGAGATAGGCAAATTCCATCAATTACGTTTTCAAGCCGACACCTGGGTGCAACTTTTATGTAAGTAAAAATTTTTAATACGGTGAATATTTTTTTTGCTCCAGACCTTAGCAGAGGTACCTACTTTTCCAAAATTGCACTTTTCCAAAATCGCACTTTTCACATTTTTTTTCAGCGATTTTTTTTTTTTTTGAGATAGTAAATGTTTGATTTTTTGACTAGCTTTATACATAACAGATAGTAAAAATGTTGAAGTTTATGCCACTATTTTTAGTTTTGCAATATTTTGATTAGTTTAACTGCTACAACATTTCTACGAAATGTGGGACGCGCATCCCCCATTTACCCCGCCCGTCCCTTTTTACCACGTTTGACGGTAGTAAATGTATGATTTCTTAACTTGCTTTATGCTACATAGATAGGAAAAATGTTGGAACTTTATGCCAGTATTTTTTTGTTTTGCAATATTTTAATTAATTTAGCTGCTACAATTTTTCCACAAAATGTATGAGGACTGTCCCTTACTACCCTGTTTGATAGTACTTTTCTAAAATCTCACTTTTCACACTTTTTTCAGGGATTTTTTAGAGGTACCGGTATGACTTCTTAACTTGCTTTATGCTATATAGATAGTAAAATTGTTGAACTTTATGCTACTATTTTTAGTTTTGCAATATTTTGATTACGGTAGTTTAGTTATTTGCAGAGAGTCAATATTTATACATTGTGGGGGAAAATTGTGAGAATGAAATATGTAGGTTTGCTAGGTAATGATCAAAATATAATTTAATATTTGTTAACTTTTATTATTAATCTTGAAACTATTTAAGTGATCATAAAAAATTTTAGAGTAATCTTTAACTTTTCATAACTGAATTACCTTCAAATTATAAGCTTCCTTTGCAGCAAGTGTTAATTGTCTTCCTTTTTTCAGATGATGTTTGTGCACAATGAGTTTTTCTCAAAGCATAATCAGCTAATGGCTTTTAAAGGACAGCAGAATTTGAGTGTGTTTAATGACACATTTATTATGCATTTATATTTGAAATGCAGGCATTGAGTTATGGAGTATTTTAGAGGCCAATTACTGAAAAATGCTCTCAATAATTAATAGAGACATACAAACGTGTAATAATGAATGTAAAGATAGTTTGATGGCAGTCAAGTGCATGTGAATTTTTAACAACACTAATACATACTTCTAGTTTTTGGAAATTTACCTCTTCAGTCTTGAACTGTACATGAAAAAACATAAAAGTTAATTCATTACTGGATGCCCATTTTATGTTACTTGCATTGTTTTCTGTAGGAGAACTGAGTGATTCATTTTCACTTGTAAATGAAATTTTTGCTGAATTTTGAAGAAGGACTCCTCAAAAATGGAAGTTGATGAACATTCATCAAGCTCGTCAGGAGAAATATCTGACATTCAGGATGAATCAGAAGAAATTTCCAGCCCTCCCAGCATTGCTCCTTCATTCAAGGGAAGTAAGAAGAAGAACACCATTGAGATGAGCCGCACTAAGTCTCAACTAACTCCAAGGATGGCTTTGTATATTCCTCCACATCTGCAAAAACAGACACAGCCTTCATTGAACACTCCCAAGAAAGCGGTTGTCAAGTCTGCTACTGTGCAAACTCCACAGCAAATCAAACAACAACAAAAGCTTCGTGCAAAGCTTGAAGAATTTACCAAATCGTATGCCAGAAAACAGTTCCAGCAGCTCAGAAATAAAACGACTCGTCAAACAATACATAAAGCTTCAAGTAAAAAATGCAATAAAACTAACTTACCTGCTGAAGCTTGGACTAATGAAATGCAATCGCTTTTGGAAACTAAAACTAAATGTATTTTGAAGTTTCAAGAGACTGGCTGTACTTCTTCTCTGCGTGAGAGCAGGAAAGCTAAGAATAGTCTTCGTAAATTGCTCAGAAAATTAAGATCAAAAGCTGTGGTGTCCCAAAACATTTATCATAACTTGAATATTTTTCACTCCAAATTTAGTTCAAGCAAATCTCCTGATAGGATCCGTTGTGTGGACGATTATCCGTGTTTAGATGAAGACGTAGATATTGAACGGGACCGCTTCATACCTTCTAAAATACAACTAATTTATGCCCAAAATGAATGGGCAGAAGATATAATCAGTTATACAGCCAAAATAACTTCCAAGAAAACGTCTTTGACGGACGTAGTGAAAGTGGAAATTATTGATTCAGACGAGGAAGTGCAGAGTTCAGCAGCTGGCGAGCGTTCGGTCGGTGGCGGCGCGCGTCGAGCAGTGGGCAGCGCGCCAGACTCGAGCCCTATGGACTCCTCTAACAACGAGTATCTGAATCAACAGTTCCTGAGACGCCAGCACGATTATGAGCGCGAACAGAAGTATAAACAGATCAGCACGGAGGCGAGGACGAGACGGCCTTCCCGTGAAACTTTCGAAGATTCTCTTAGAGAATATTGTCAGTCTGGGAATTTAAAATTGAATCTTGACTCTTCAAGAAGATCAAGTTTGGTCCATGCTCGAAGTCCAGAGCCTCTACGCCCTCCTTTTTTCCCAATGAATCCAGCTTTCAGTAACCATGGTTTCCCTGGACCACCTGAAGACGTTCCTCGTGAACCATTCGTAAAGGAACGAAGATTAAAGATATACTCTCCTCCTAAGGAAATTTTCCCGTCATTAATCCATGATGATGCATTTATATCGAGGCGGCATTTCATTCATGAGACAGGAAATAATAAACTAAATGACGGCCGAGGAGTAAACTTTAATGAAAAATCAAGAAAAGATCTTGGAGATAGGGCCGTTTTTGCCAGAAATTATAGCCACAACGGCATTGAAGAGTATCCTGTCGTTGGACTCAACTCGCATGATTGTAGGAAAGAAGCTTCGCATGAAAGATCTAACAGTCATTCTTATCGATTGGAATCTCCAGAACGCAGAGAAGCATCCACTCGTGCAAATCACCTCAGCAGAGAAAAGGCCGTCCGAGAGGTTAGAAGGAAGGAAGCTCAACGAGAGAGGTCGTCCAGTTCTACTGCAGAGCGGGGCTACAGGTCGAATGGATTCCAACCGAATTATCGTGATTCTCGCGAATCTGATGCTGATGAACATTCCTTTAGAAATTATGTTAGTTATCCGCAGAGGAAAGATGACAGAGAGCACTCACGGCACTCGCACGACACAGAAGACTTGCATTTTTCTTCTTATCCCAATGGGCTCACTGATGGTCGAGGGAGCCTTCGCCACCTCAAACATGAGTCTGCGGGACACGGTAAACAAGATCGGCGTGAGAATTATTCGCCTTCAGTAATGCATTCGAGGAAGGCAGTGCAAGATGCCGATCGATCTGGTAAGAGAGAGTGGCACGACAACGATCGATCCGATAGGAGAGTGTGGCACAACGATCGATCCGATAGGAGAGAGTGGCACGACAACGATCGATCCGATAGGAGAGAGTGGCATGACAACGATCGGCGGTTCCAACGAGACTCGAGGATGGACTACCACATACATGCAGAGACTCAAGATCGTTTCTCCAATCGAAATCGTAGAACGAGTGCAGATCGAGAACATCCTTTCAATTTACTCAAGCACGACATCGATAGAGTAAAGAGTAGAAATTCAGAGTCTCCTGGAAGAGAAGCTTATGATAGATGTTTTAGCAAACGGAAGTGTAATGAAAGAGAAGATGCAATGAGATCAGCTAAAAGAAAAAAGCGCCAAGAGTAGAGGCATGTAGAGTAGAGTAGAACAAGAGGCATAATGTAATTTTAAATGAAAAATGTGCATAGTTAGTTATCAACAGCACTGGTTCAGTGTCGTCGAAAAAATCGAGGCAGAATGACATAGCAATTCTTTGCTTTTAAATTCTAGGAACATTTTTTTTCGATCATGAGTGTTAGGTATCCATGATCATGTAATTCATTTGAACAACGAAATCACAATCAATGCCAATCAAGGACAAATTCTCATTTCATTAAAAGTACCATTACATTAATTATTGCAACATCTTTAAGTTAAAATAACGACTGAAATTGCGATAACTGTAGTCGATCACTTGTTAATTTGTCTCCGATGTCTATATGGAACACAAAATTATTTTCACTTACTTGGAGCATGATTAATTCCCGTCCTTGCGAACTCCTCAACGACATATGAGCGATGTAACTCGCGGAATTCGATTTGACATTCGGGACACTCTAGGGCTTAAGATGATGGATCGGGCCAACTAACGTATTGTATTACCTCTAGCGTCGTTAATATTAAATTTGTTTAGCTTAGCCTCTTGTGCAAGTCAACTCTGTGCAATGTAATCCTGTTTTTATCGCGAGATACGAAGTCTCGTTTCTTCAACTCCTATAGTAAAAAAAATCTTTTATCACTATTTTTTGAGCTAAGGAAAAAAAACATGGAATGCTAGTTGGTAAACTTGATTTATGACGTGTCAATATTAACAATTTACGAAGCGTGAATTTGTAAAATCTTCAGTTTGGACATGCTGTTTATCGTCATTACTTTAAGATTATTAATGACGTATCCACTTGGCCAAGCAACATTAATTCACACTTCCTGTTAGAATAGTTTCTATTAAAAAAATTAATATAATTGAATATATTCGAACTACGCCTCTATTAAATCGATGAATGTCCTCTCGCTGAACGACATTGCATATGAACATAATATCATGTCTCGTCTGTTAATGAATTTTATTCAGATAATTCGTAAAACTTTACTGGTACATGTACAACATTAATATGTCTCCAGTCGCAAAAATATTATCATTTGTATAAATTCATGTTGTTTGATATTTCTGATAATCCATCAGACGCGAAGATATTTACAGCCCTAGTATGCTAGTACCCGGAGCGTAACTGGTGCTTCATAATGAAAAAATTATGTAAACTTATAACAATGTGTGCATGTTCAAGATAAATAGTGACGCAATTGGGTATTCAATTTCCTTTGTGGCGAAGATAATTTGTTAAATAAGACAACATTCACGTTCACATCGTTGATATTACAATGAATTAAAATGGAAATCGCTGTATATCCAATTTAAGGTTGCCAGCAAATCGTCGTACAATAGGACTTAATAATAGTTAATATTTGTCTAAAATAAACACTACTGGTACAATAGTAGAGGATCGGCTACCTCTAGAATGGCGTGGCACTTTATTTGAACCCATTTCTCGCATTTCAAGTGATCGCATCCATATGACCAGAGAGTATTGCGCTCGAGTCTTACATGTTGAAACTTAATGCGAAGAGCAGAGATCTTAACCTGTTTCCAAAGCAATAATTGGATTGACTTGGCACAGTGATGAGACAATGACCGTATTCGTGACTCCAGTCTTCTGTTCATAAGTGCAGCTCTGAGCGCGTGATCTATTAAGCATGCGAGTGTTTCTGGCCTTCAATGCTATGGTACCAGACACACGATTGTCGCCCAGGCGACTTGGGAATGGCACTTAAGTCTCACGACTGCGGGAAATGTGGAAAGTTGCTTTGCGGAAGTGTTGAACTCCCGCAATTTATAACTTTCATATTGGGAAATAATAATTCAATTACCTAAGCGAACAATACAAGTTGAAATATCGGATCATGAATCTATGAATTTTAGAACAAAAATTCAAACCTTGATTAAACTGTTTACAGTGCTGATATTTCATTCAGTTTGATGTAAAGAGTAGCTGTAAATCTATAAAAATAAATTCTTCTCAGCAAGGGGAGCGCTATGCTCCCTACATGTCTATTTAAATTTATTTCTATGGTATCAAGAGGTCGTCAGGTAAATCTTTTCACAATCAAGGTGGAGGTGTCTTGCTTAAACTTAGCCGAATTATGCTATAAAGGCTACTATTAAATTATCAATAGCATATTGTCTATAGGAGCATTTTGGAATCGGTAGACGGAATGGAGCGATCTAACTATACAAGGCCACAGAAAATTACCTTACAGCTAAGCATTATTAACAATCAGTTATAATAAATCTTAAAATTACGAGCATATAAATCAAGGGACATCAAAGTCCGTAGGCGCAGCAATAGTAAACAATTACAGCGAAGGAGCGAAATTCAACACTGAAGAGCAGCAACCAATTCCTGCACTCGTCGACTACGAGGCCATCGACATGGTCATGAGAAGCGTGCATTAGCATGAATATTTACAGTGCTGATATAAAACTTTAGGAATAAAGCGTCGAGGCGATGACGTTTAGTCCAGGAAAAGAACTGAAGATAATCCTTAAAAAATAATTTTTACATTCAATACCAGAGTAAGACTAGCGGAATATATGATATAAAATTATACATGAACAGGCTCCAACGCAATTAAAAATACCAAATATATAATAAAATATAAATTCGGTCGGTCCACAGCGTGCCAGGAACCGATATGGATAGGAAATCATTAAATGGTCAAAATTGAAGTAGAATTGACTTCGATAACCGGACGCAATAATCCTTACAGAGAAAATCGGCTGATATTTGGAATCGTATCTTATGAAATGGGAGCGTAATGCCACAGGAATGTTAGGTTCACTTTTAAATAACCATTAATTTATACACAAGTCATTATTGTTCTGAGTCCTTAATGTGTGGAGAGCGGCGGGCACGACAATTAAATAATTTTATGCAAATAATTTTCACATGACAAAAGGTAGAAAAATAATATGGTTAGCACGCGCGAATAGGCGCAGAAAAAATGATATATTTCACTACAGAGCACGCGGAAGAGTTAAGGTTAACAAGACGTAAAGAAACTCCCTATGTAACTCATGGTAACGATACAGTCGCTGTTGTCAATTGGTCAATACGCGACCCTGTTTCTTGGCTGTCCCATTGCTTGTCTAGCAAAGATTCCCGCTCATTTTTACCCGAGGATATTTTGAAGACTTTGAGTTTGATTTCTGAGAAATGCATTTCTATGTATTGCATAATAATGTACAAATAGTCCCAACTTCAACAAATACGATTACTCGGAGAAATAACATTTACATTAGTCAGATCCAAATTCTAATACTTTGAAAAATATCAATTCCATCGAGTTGCGAGTAATGAGAACAATCCAGATATTGGTAATGAGGCGAGAGAGAAGATAGCAAGCGTGCTTTACATTTGGAGATCGAGTGCCATCTAATTAAATGTAAAATTTTCTACCCAAAGAAAATTATTCCTAGAAGAACGGTACCAATGAAGCTATTTCGTAATAAATTTTGGAGAAGAATTTTATGACCTAGCCGCCAGATTTTTATTATTGCGTCAAATTGCATCAATGGACAACTTACATCAACGGAACGGAAACAACTAAGCCCTGGTCCCACACGAAATAATACGGCTAGATAGCTTTATTTCTGTTAGTATCATACTTTTTGCTAACTTAAATCAATGCATGCTAACTCAGGAAGACAAATTCAAAGTTATTGCAGGTCAAGTGCGTTTGAATCTCGTAAATTGCAAATAAAATCAATTATTTCGCCAGTGGGAAGATACAAGCTGCTAACTGTAAGAAAAAAAGCCAATGATTTACACGTAGAAAACAAACGCAAAGCGCGGGAAGCGAGATATTTGAAGTTTTATGTACTTGCGAAAATATTTTCTAATTTCAAACTTGTACAGACAAAGAGTCGTATTGTCGGTCACAATACTACAAGAGGTGATCAACTACATAGTCAATAATTTTGAAAGAAATCACCCTTTTCACCGAGTCGGAAACAAGGGTACGTTAATTTACACAACATTTAAATTATTAAAGGTCTTTTTAACGTGGCCTCAGTGGTAATGCAAACTGCCGTACTTCATGAGCATTTTCGTCAAATTTCACACAAAAAACGGCAATCAATATTTCCTAAAGACCTGAACAACAGCTTCAAATGAAATTATCAATTTCTCCAAACCTAACTATTCAATGGTATAAAGAAGCCCAACGATAATAATCTCGAGAACGCCTAAAGAAATTAACGTGCTCTTCAGTTTACAACCAAATACTTTTTAAATCATTTGTATCATTGGTGTCTGAAAAATGCGTTCTTATGGAAATTTGTTCCCAAATAAGCTCTCTTATATCCATGATCTCCTTCGTCAGAAATAGAAATTTCACAGAATCAGCATTGCATGTGTTTCAATTGTATGATTGGGCACATTCACAGGTGAGCCACAGATATTTTTCTTCTAATTATACCATAAGTAAGACATCAGGTTTATAAGAAACCCCCGAGTTGTAAAAAGAATCTATGATATTCTAAGTCAAAATTATATTGATTAATTTAGTCACAGAAGCACATAACCTACTGACACAACAAATTTCAATAAAGAATACAATTGAAGTTTGCATAGTAAACGATCACAGTATATCCTCCATATATTTCAAACACGAGTTGTTTGGAAGACGCTTTCTGAGGGACGTAACGAGGCCTTGCACAAGACAAGCTATAGACACTGGCGCAAACTTCAACAGCAAACATACCAGGGCTTCTTCCTTATCTTCTTCATGGAAGAATATTTCTCGGCGAGGCTGCTGATACTTGAACAGTAAAAGCAGTCAGGCCGTAACAATGAATTATTTACAGCAAAAACTGGAGGAGTGGGACAATTTCGTGTGAACGCCAAGTCTGAGCAGCTCAGTGCAAGACCACAGACTTGTTCACATATTTGGGATGAGTCAAGACACGAGTTTTTCTTTGTGTCCGAACCCTTACAGAATTTCGTGTAGAATGTTACTCCATTCATTATTGGTTCACTTAAAGAACCTGGAATGCCGTAGTTTTCATCGGCCAAAGAATGAAAATACATGCTACTCACAGTCGGTACGGTTGGATACAATACAATATTTTTCCTTAGAAGAATGTCTGATTTAAGACTTGGTAGATTAGATATAATGTTTGCTTTGAACAAGCGTTTGAATGATCCCAAAGGAATGCCTACAGACGAGGGTTTTTCATGCCGGCTGGCCCGAGGTCGTCAAGCGAGGTAGCGCGGTCATTTCTTCGGTAAATTAGAATTAGGAGGAAGCGTCGCAGCTTTCTGGGGCATGTACGGCTTGTAGTTCAGGCGAGTTGATTCTCTGAAAAAAAAACATGAATAAACGACTCGGAATTTATTCGCATCTGAAGAACAAAAAGTCGTTATGATAAGCCGAAAAATTCGTCAATATATTACGAGCTGGCTTGATTATTCACATAGATGACAAAATTATCGAGACAAAAATAAGGAATTTGTTACGGATAAACTCTATCCAGATTTACCAACGCGCATTAAGTACACAGAAGAAAATTATGATACGAGACAGTTCTACTGAAGGAAATTAGTCACTTTACTATTGGTTCAGAATCGAAGGAATAAGGAAAAATTTAATTGAGCATTTTAGCTAAGCAAGTATACTAATTATACTACAAGTCAAGATGGAAAAATCGACTATAAATACAACGATAAATACATTCAAGCGCATAGAAGTAACAAAAGTTTCAGACGAGGCTGACAGAAAATGAAAGGTTTTTAGTGCAAGTAATGACGTGCAGGATTAACTTAACTAATTTGTTAGTAGGCGTGTAGTTGAGTGGAAGCGAGCGGGATATAGAAGCATTAAATTTATAAGCATTTTCTTCAGCAGCAAATCCTGAGAAGCATAGCGGGGTCTCTGGAAGTTATGTTAAGCAAAATTCCAGATCCGTCCGCTACACTATTACAAAAACTAACGCAAATGAAGCATACATAAATTAAATTTTATATATATTTCCATCAAACAAGGCTAAAACGAGAAAAAAATTAAGCATTGAGAAAGAACCAGAAAGCGGCAGGACACAAGATAAGTTTAAAGTTTGTCCAATGTTAAAAAAGTCGAAAAACGTGTGAATTTATCATTTATGATGATAGAATTTAACGTGAAACAAAAAGGATATGTATTTCAAAACATAAAATATACTTTTTTGAAAGCTTTCCAGGGCGTACCCATGAATTCGTGAAGAAAATGAAGTATACCTCAGACTTGGAGAGTTATTGGAGACAACGAGTGATGCGGCAGAGTTGAAGAAGCGTTCCCAAGACTAAGCAGAGTTATAAACGATATTCAATGACTTGACAGAGTTAAGAAAAAGAGTTAATGGAAGATTTGGCAGAGTTAGAGATGAGTCCCCATACTTGGCAAAGTTAGAAAAGAGTCCCCAAACTTGGCAAAGTTAAAGAAGAGTCCCCAAACTTGGCAGAGTTAGAGAAGAGTCCCTAAACTTGGCAGAGTTAGAGAGGAGTCCCTAAACTTGGCAGAGTTAGAGAAAAGAGTCCCTAAACTTGGCAGAGTTAGAGAAGAGTCCCCATACTTGGCAGAGTTAGAGAAGAGTCCCCATACTTGGCAGAGTTAGAGAAGAGTCCCCATACTTGGCAGAGTTAGAGAAGAGTTCCCATACTTGGCAGAGTTAAAGAAGAGTCCCCATACTTGGCAGAGTTAGAGAAAAGTCCCCAAAATTAGGCCGAGTTAAAGAACGGACCCAAAAACTAGTAAAAGTTCATGAAGACTCTCGGTGAAGGCTAAGTTAAGTATCAAGGTGTGAGAGTAACCAGAAGCAAGGCCAATATTACCTTAGGTGGCCAGAAGCGTGGCGCCCACTTCAGTAGAGGGACTTTCTAGGGGCACCCGAGGCACCAACACCTGAGGTTCTGTGCGTTGCAGCACACAAACCCAACCATTAATGGGTCTTAATAAACTTACAAGGCATACACACCCAACCATTAATGTAGCAGGATACTTATACGGCACACACACAACCGTTAAAGTGGCACAAGCATGACACTTATAAAGTAGCGGCTACGTCAGAAAGAAAGGTGCGCCATATTTGCACACGATACCTCAACTATATAATCGTGTGCATCCTTTACCAACCAACTTCTCAAAATTAAGTCTTGTTTATTCACGTATATCTGGGTTTCAAGTTGTTACTGTAACTGACATGTTCAGATTGAATAATGAATTAAAATTGTAATTGATGGAGAATTTTCCATCAATGCTGAAGCATCGCGTTAGAATCTAAACTTTAATTAAAAAGTATCTAACAACTTCAAATTCTTTTGTTTGAGGTAAACCACCTCAAATGCACAAAAGCAATATAGGCAGCCTACTGACGCCTCATTCGGACGTTAAAGAAACGAATGCTCAATCATGAGAAATATTTCATTGACAATCTTTTCAATGGTGAATGGTCGTTCATATCAGTTTCAACTTTCTCAACAAAGCTAGTGAGTGGAAATTAGCTAATAATCTTAGTCTTGCAATTGAGGTTTCTTACGCGGACCAAAGCAAGAGTCTGACTCAAGTCAACATAATAAAAACGAGGGAGCAGAATTGCAAGTCAGAACAGGGAATAGGATTCGAAGAACCACTATACAAAAACCATTATAACGCACAGAGCTTGAGAACGGTAATTAATATGTAAAATATTAAATACAAGACAAGGGAATGTTATAAGACAACATACGGCACACAACAAAGGTATGGTTATCACGAGAGAAGGCTAGAAACATTCACATAAAAAGGAACCATGTACAAAGGGACATTAAAGCAAGGGTTTGAGGGTTTGTCACATCACAAAGAAATAAGCATGGCACCTACAAAGTCATGATTGTCCATTCACATAGAAATAAACGGAGGGGATCACACAAAGTTTCAAATCCTCATTTGGATAAACAAATGCACCCCGAAAACGATCTTCACATAGTAAAGTTTCTTGTGTTAACCAAGTTCGATTTTGCAGCAAACTGACATAATTTAGCAGACGCTTGATTCAGTGTGTAAATTGTACTCGTATAACAATCTAGATAATTGACTTCACATCACGGAACATTACAATTTCCGCTGTAGAAGAAACAGGTGGAGGAATCACACATTGACTTCAGGTACAGATGAGAGCACCTAACCTAAAATGTATTCTGAATTTTAGTAATTTTTTGGGCCTCCTACCACTGATTTAATTTAATTCAGGAACTTAGCGAGTTGCACTCAAACTCGAAATCAGCAAAGATAATTTAAGAGTTGGGAGTTTATTGACAAAGGATTTGAAGTAATTCGAAACACAACTCTACAAGAAACTCATACATGCAATAGGCATCAAGCATGTTAATGAATTCAGAATAATTGAGTAACAGTCAAATAACATTCTAAAGATTGGCGTAAGGAAACCATAATCAACCAAGACGGCCCGCCGATTACCGGAATATTGACTGCTCCTTTATTCCACTCATCTGTCGGACGTAAACTATAAAATAATACACATTTTTAAACTACATTTGAACCTGAATTTAGCATCAGTTGTTTTGTAAGGAATTGAATCCTAAAACTTATGAAGGAATCCGATATTGAACAATTTACCTGGGTGATATTCTAGCGCCATCTGGAGCTGCAGCGTTGTTGGCCTTATAGCCTGACTTGGCGATGGTCTTGGAGAGCCTCAGCACCCAGTCCTGGAAAAATATTTCATAAGTAAACATGTACCATCTTGCTGAACAATTTTACATTATCGTAAATGTAAATATCAAAAAGTGAAGCCATATTCAGCACAAAATTTAATGAGAGGCCTGAAGCCGACCGAAGGAGGTGAATGTGAGGCTTAGTGATTATTTTTGAAAATTTTTCAAACATATTTACAGAGTGACAGAAAAATCGCCACGGTTTATTTAATTGAATCCAAAAGAAAATGCCAGCGTTGGAGACTTGAAAGTCTGTAGTGTTTCATATACACATTGCATAGGCTTAACTGTAACAAAATACAAGTTTGTTTCCTTGATATTAGTTGCTTCACATAGGCATTTTGTTGATATAGATCGTCCTGTACGTAATCACAGTGTTAAAACGTGAATTCTGCAAATTTCTAAACTAATTTTCCGTCCAGATAAATGAACTTTAGTTGAGGATAGTAATTTTATCGCAGCCACCTTCTGCTGCTCGACGGTAGGTGCTAAGAGGAGCATTTCCTTGGCAGTGTGTGTGTCGTTAGTGACTTTACACCAGGCGATGTTCTCCCCCTTATCGAAGTGCTCTCGGTGGATTTTGGTACGGCATCCTGAGCAGAAATCAGTTACACATGGAAATGTTAGCCATTAATTATGAAACTACCGAGAGGAAAGTATCTCGTACTAATAACTAAAGCAAGAAAGAGCCTCATAATGACCGACATATCTGACAGCGGATTAATTTGGTTAGTTTTCGACCACGTGTGTTCAATTCATTACTTACCTATATAAATGCACAATAAAATAAGGGAAGGCGCAACGGATAATTGTACTCTGAATACAACGATAAAAAGTATTCAGAGATCTGCAGGTCTGTCAGATCAAGGTTCGTAGAGGCCTTACGTCGGCACTCGAGTGCTGGGGGCGGTTTAAAAACAGCCGACAGGTTCCTGGGGCACATCTCGCAGGTGGTGGGCATATGGTACGTGAGAGGGCAAAACTCGTGCCCTTTGTGAAGGATATTTCCGACAGCCGTGCTCGCAGCAGCAGCACCGACGGCCGACACGTCCAGAGGGTTGGTTCCATCAGCTCCAGGCTTGCGGCTCTCGCCTTCGCCAGCGTATAGAAGCTAGAGAATAGGAGTGGAAACAGACATAAGTGTTGAGAGAACTTAAGAGTTGTATCAAAATTAGTGGTCAGACGAAAGTATTAAAAGACTCTCTTGAGTGCGAGCCTGACACGTCTTAGTATGTAAACAGGTTTTCACACGTAACAATTCTGAGCTGGATAATCCAGAAATACAGAAAATACTTGCAGCGGGCAACAGATTCACAAGAATTTTACGAGTGCACAACACTAATATGATTTACAGGACCTGAAATTACGAGAATAGTTTGCTCTGCCTTTTCTTCAAAGCCAAAGAAGGTCATGAAATTCGTATCAATGATGAGGTTAAACAGACCTGGAATATTCTGGGGATATCCTTAGCATCAGCTCGGATGACGTCACCCTGGGTGACAGAGCGTACATGGAACAGCTTCGACAAGTCCAGTATGAGGACGGGGTCTGAGTTGAGTTTATCATTTTCAGAGTTGTAAAAAATTATCTTCCGTGAGGACACCACAACATATTGCTTCTTCCAGCCGTGCTTACGGATGTTCTGTTTGTTTGGCAACGACAACCAGCCTTCCAGTCGTCGGTCTACCAATTAAACGCAATTAGAATTAATCACTCAGAAAGGTCACTTAAGAGTGTAACTACCTATTAGAAAGAACTTTTCTGGAATTGCAGCTGAAAACGTAAACGTGCTTTCCTAAACCATGTAGAGAGCCTTGGAAAAAATATGGTAAAAGGTTCAAAAACAAATGAACAAATTTAAACACAACTTACTGCTGTCAACTAAAATCAGCATTCCATCATTCATTACAATTACTCTACAAAATTAATTTTTTTTCGCAAACTGTATGTAAATTTTGGATTTCTGTGCTTCGAAGGAAAGGATGTATGTTTCCACGTACCGTTGTCGTCGTGGTCGTTCTCGCCGACGCTGATGACGCTGACAGTATCAGCAGTAAGGGAGGCGAGACGCTTGTGCAGCATCTCGATCTCGCTGTCCTTAGCGTCCACTTCCATCTGTAGCCGCAGCCTCGCCGACGACTCTTCCGACAGCAGGCCTGCCTGCTCCTGCAGCTCCTTCTGGTGCTTCGACATCGCAGCGTTGAACTTCTCACGTTCCTGAACACAAATTCAAAGTAATGAGTTTATTTTAGACAGTAAAACACATACAGTGTACTGTGTTAATATTAGACAGTAATAGTAGGTTAATTGATACTCGCTCAACTTTCACTGTTTAAAATTTCACTGTCACTGGAAAATCCTGTGGTGACTAATACACAAAGTCACAAACAGATAAAATTAATTGCTCTTTAACAAATATTCAGGGTGAAACTTGTAAATAATACAATCTTGCAATTAACTGAAACTATACACAGATGAGTTTGACACATAACACACAAACACAACACTGTGCACTAATTCTCTAGCCACTGACTGTCTGCAGATCCATGTTGAGTTTTCTGTATTCCTTGTCGCGTTTTTTAAGATTTGTAGTCCAGGATTCTTTGTTGCCGCCACTCTTTTTGTTATTGAGCGCCGTGTCTTTCCTCGCCATGACCTCAGCAAGCTTGTTGACGGCCTGGAACTTCAGGAGCTTCTCTTGTTCCAGCTGCTTCTGTAGCTTCTCTGTGTCGCTGTTGAACTGCTCTTCTTTCGAGCTCAGCTCTACAAAATAAAGTGAATTGCAAGTGGTTTCTACAATCTAGAAAAATATTTAGATAAATAATGTAGTAGTTGCAGGATTAGCAAAATCACTTAAACAAAAAGATGCAACAGAAAAAATGACGACTATTTAGAAAAAGAAGTAAAGTATATCAAATAATTATAAACTGAAATTTACCATTATAATAACAATATTTATATTCAGTTTATCATTATAATCTAAAATAATATTCCAATGTGCACAAAGAAATGCAGTTAAAAAAAATAATACGCGGCATGCAGAATAAGGCCCTTTGTGGATCAACAAGCACGAGAGCAGGGAATGAACCAAGGAAAAATCATACAGAAAATTAACCATATCAAACATGATTAATAACTTTAATTATAAAGAAAACTTTTGTAAGTGAGTGCCCATGATAATGGTATCGAGAATTATAGAATAAGTCACTTATCAAGTTTTGAGAACATTCTGTTGTAAAGCCATTCATATTCATGATTTTAAATAGAGTTCTTACCGAGTATTTTGTTCTGTAGAGTTGAATTAGCTTCGTCGAGCTCGTGCTTGTGCAGTTCTAGGGACCTTTGCAGTTCGTTCTCGAGCTCTTGTGTCTGTACACAAGACGATACATAACCTTTGTTAATATCAACACAGGAAATGCCTTCTCATGATATATCTCCATAAAATAAATAATAAAAACTATTAAGTTGCATCAATAGAACAAAGCATCAATAGAATTTATTCATCAATAAATTTAAAAATTCATCATAAAACTTCATTTAAAAAAATTATTCAAAGCTAAGGAGACCAGGCCAGACATAGAAACTCACCGCGGCGAGTGATGCCTTCAACTTGGAGAGCTCAACAGAATGTTTACTCATGAGCTCCTGCACCTCGAGTTCCCTCATTGTTCTCTCCTTCTCAAGCTCAGCAATTCTTTCTTCAGCGTTCTGCCGCAAGTTCACTTCACTGTCCACTCTGCTGTTGCTGTTCGCCACCTGAACACAGTCGCAGAGATTTTATTTTGCTCTTGATGTGACCTAAGCAAGTTACGCCGCGAAATATGGATGATAAAATTCCATGGGTTCATATTAACTGCAATAAAATAATGACTATTCTTTTACAGAAGTGGCGCTAGCTTCCATTTCCAAACATAACGGTCTGAAAATATCACATGATACTGTGCAAAGAACAGTTGAAGAAGTAAAATTTTCTGCTAGGCAAATATTCTGCAACAACAGTTTCAGAATATTTTAAGAAAAAACATTAAACAGAGTTAGACGGATAGTTATGAGTGGCTGAGCTAAAAATTCAACCACTACTAAAATCTTAAGGTTGAATAACAAAGCCAGACCTCATCTTGATACTTGGCGATATCCTTCTCCAGATCAGCAATGACGCGGCTCTTGTCGTCGATCTCTTCCTTAAGTTCCTTAACTTGTGTTTTATAAAGAGAAGTGAACTGCGACTCGGTCTCGAGGGAGTCCTGCAGCTCCTTCATCTGCACGGCGTCGACGCTCATGCCCGTACGCAGCTTGTGAAGTTCCTCCTCGAGAGCGACGCGCGCCTTCTCTGCTGACACCACCTGACGCTGCACCAGCTCTTCTCGAGACCGCGACACCGATAGCTGCACAAAGATTTGATACAATAAACAACATCGGCCACCGCGCAAGAGTGGCTTTGACGTATGTAACTAGGAACTAGGCACAACAACATCATATTGCTATAGCAATACCATAATTGAAGATCTAGCTTCGTCCGTGGTCACAAAACCTGACTAACACCACAAAAATGTCATCATCATATGAAGTCCTAAGCAACGATCAGGTTTGAAAAGAGCGGCGCGATTCTCAAAAGTCATCATTAAGTACCAAAAGATAAGATTCAGTTAGGCATTCACAAGCTAGTAACATTAAGGTGTAGCTTAACTGTAGCAACAATAGTGCCAGAAGACAAAGTTCAGACGATAATTTACTAACAAGTAAGCTTAAGTTGAAGCAAATTAGTGGGGAAAGAAGCTGTAAACTGACCTCAGAATGGGCAGCTTGTAAATCCAGAAGCAGCTTGTTGCGTTTATCGTGCTCAAGTTCTATCTGTTTTTGGAGCCCTTTGACTTTCTCGATTTCCTGACGTTTGTCAGCTTCAACTTTAGCGAGTTGAGTCTGCAGCTGTCGGTAGTCAACGTTGAGCAGTGACATCTGGCGCTCTTTCTCTTGAGCTGAAGACTCTGCAGCCTTGCGCTTGGTCTTTTCAGAAGACAAGCGCTCCTGCAGAGCTGCACATACACAAAAACCATTCTTAAGATAAATATAATAGAATTAAAACTAATAACCTTACTTCAGAAACGCTACTTAGTAGCAGGAAATGTTCTATAATTGAGCAAAATTGGCGGCATGCATACGTTTTCTTCTTTCATGTTGAAATTGTGAACTCAAGTGTAATTCACAGCTTTCTAGCAACACACAATATTGTATCATAATAAAATCGCTCGCAGCGAATTTCTAGCATCACACTATAAACTTCTGATAAAATATAGCAGGTGACGTTCACTGACCCGCCAGAGCTTGGGAGCTGTGCTCAGTGTGCAGAGGGCTTACGCTACCCGCCCTGTTGTTGTTCACCAGGGGCGACTCAGTGCCCTCCGAGGACATGCGTGTCGCTGCTGCTGCAGCTTCCGCCGTGGCTGCAGACTCACGTAGGGCCTTCACTTCCTGGTCGTACTGATTGCTGGCAGCCTTGAGCTCTATTTCCAGGGAGGTTTTCTGTTTCTCGAGGTGGTTTAGGCGCTGGTTTAATCGGTCCGACTCTTGCTGTAGCAAGCTTTCTCGCGCCACGGATTCGTCCAGCTAAAATTAATTAAATTGTTAAATTAAAAATAGTTGTCATCAAATATTCGTATTAACAATTAGATTCGAACATTTGAAAGATTGGAGGCTAAAAAGCAAGCAAATGCAGTAACCTTTGTACAACTGTACCCGCTGAGTAATGTTACATGTAATAAAAACAAATGTCTGGAGGGCTCATTTGGAGTCTACAAAGATGGAAACTACTACTAACTAAAGGAGTTACATGTAATCTGGTGTGCACACCAGAGTACACGCAACACACCAGAGTACACACAACACACCTGAGTACACGCAACACACCAGAGTACACGCAACACACCAGAGTACACGCAACACACCAGAGTACACACAACACCCCTGAGTACACGCAACATCCCTGAGTACACACAACACACCAGAGTACATGCAACACACATGAGTACACACAACACACAAGAGTACACGCAACACACCTGAGTACACACAACACACACGAGTACACACAACACACAAGAGTACACGCAACACGCCAGAGTACACACAACACCCCTGAGTACACACAACACACCAGAGTACACGCAACACACATGAGTACCCACAACACACAAGAGTACACGCAACACACCAGAGTACACACAACACACCTGAGTACACANCAACAAATACACAAAGCTTTAAAATCATATTATGGCGCAATATAAAATTCTTATTCCAATCTAATACCATGACATACGTGGGAGCAATTTTTGGCTTCTCTGTTACTGAACATACTCGTACATCGCTTAGACTGTCATAACTTCTTGCCCCTCAAATGCCGGGGCAATTTAGCTAGCAATCCACAAAAAACTTACGAAACTATCGCTCACTCTCACCAGCCCAGCAGTTTATTAAAATGCTGAGTATATACACACCCACAAGATGTGTATAAGAGACTTCCTGAGCACAATCCCAGATCGACCTCCCATGCAACACTACCAGCGGCGAGAAGCAAGCAACAGCATCGTGCATCAGGTGGCCCAAATGAGGGCGGATGAACGATAATCAGAGGCGGCGATCCATCGTGGCCTGGGACTGCTATGTCCCAAACAAATACTAAGGATACTAAAGACACACCAGAGTACACACAACACACCAGAGTACACGCAACACACATGAGTACCCACAACACACAAGAGTACACGCAACACACCAGAGTACACACAACACACCTGAGTACACACAACACACCAGAGTAGTACATGTACACACAACACACCAGAGTAGTACATGTACACGCAACACACCTTGGCCTGCAGGACGCGGTTGCGTTTCTCCGTCTTCTCGAGGAGTTCGCTCTGCTGGCGCTGCCCCACACGCAGCTTCTCCAGCTCCCCTGTCAGCTTCAGCACGTCGCGCTCTAGGGCGTCACGAGCAGCCTGCACATATCACTCATGTACATTAGCATATCGCATTCATGTTCAGTACACACCTAATTCCATGTTCATTGTTCATCATCAGACAAATCAACGTATGCGGATAAGTAACTTGAAGCGCTTCAGTCCTACGTTTATATAATAGTCGTCAGTTTACCAAAATATTTCATGTATAAACAAAAGTTGCTACTTTTCAGTTATTTGCAAGGCTCTAGTTACTGTCATGTGAATATCAATTCAACAGCCTCATAGCGACTAAGCACTTTTCATGTTCATCAACTTCTACAAATGTCAACTTTCGTGTTGCACTTATAATATTCAGTTGCTATTTAAAATGTTAGTTATAATATTTGTAACATTAATTTCGATCTCCTAATGTGCGGTCAGAACCAAAGACAAAGTATTTACATATTGTCAGATATTCTGCACTGCTCTTTAACAAGCAGGCAGTACGCCAGTAATTTTGCAGTTTCCTTCAATATCATAAAATAATGTTATTTCTATCATCGCTTTCGCCATATAGAAAAAGAAAACATTCTTACGAAATTACTGACTGAATTCTGTGCTTAAACACACTGATATCTTAAAACACACGATTAAATTCTCAACTCTGACATTCCAAATATTTACAAGCAGATAATTAGAAATAATGCGATCAAATTCTTAATTGCACACACATCTAAATAAATAATGGTAAGGTTCTCACCGTAGCAGCTGCCAGTTTCTGCGCGTTCTCAGCAACAACAGCTTCTTGTCGCTTCACCGCGACGCTCAGCTCAGCGTTGCTCTTGCGCAGTTTGCCTGAGCTCTCGTTCTCCGCCTTCAGCTTGCACTGCACCTCTTTGAACTGCACGGTAATGTGAAGAGTTAGTGATGCTTTTGGTGGGCAGCTTGCACTGCACCTCTTTGAACTGCACGGTAATGTGAAGAGTTAGTGATGCTTGTGGTCGGCAGCTTGCACTGCACCTCTTTGAACTGCACGGTAATGTGAAGAGTTAGTGATGCTTGTGGTCGGCCGCTTGCACTGCACCTCTTTGAACTGCACGGTAATGTGAAGAGTTAGTGATGCTTGTGGTCGGCCGCTTGCACTGCACCTCTTGGAACTGCACGGTAATGTGAAGAGTTAGTGATGCTTGTGGTCGGCCGCTTGCACTGCACCTCTTGGAACTGCACGGTAATGTGGAGCGTTAGTGATGCTTTCGGTAGGTCAAAAAATAGGGTCAGTAAGCCTATAAGTATTGGTGATAAATCCTTCACTAAAATGTCTTTCATTAGCATGGCTTTTGACGCACAGCACCACAAAAACTGCAAGCATATTCAGCCGTGTTTACATAATCTAATCATTTATCTGCATTCTATTTCAACCTTAATCATAATACAGTAATATCAAATATTATTTATTCTAATAATTATTCTTTATGGCTCCGTGTCAAGTATTGAGCCAGACATTTGCATTTCGTGGTGAACATCACCTTCGTCTCGATGGTGAGGAAAAACCAGCCTCCGTGTTGAGAAATATCAGCAGCAGGCTCGTTCCTTGTGACCTGCACGGCCTACTGACCTGCTTCTCGAGCGCAGCAAGCTTGTCCCCCGTGGCGTGCACGGCCTACTGTCCTGCTTCTCGAGCGCAGCAAGCTTGTCCCCCGTGGCGTGCACCGCCTGTTGGTCGCGGCTTCGTCTGTTCTGCTCGTCCTCCAGCTTCCTGCGCACCACCTGGTACGTCTGCTCCAACTTCCGCTTCACGCTCGCTTCATTCTCAGCCTAAAGATACGGCGATGATCCATTTTTTAATGTCTATAACGAAAACATAGGTTATGGAGTTAGCTTCTAATGTCTTGACTGCCTTCTATTCATTTTGAATAATATTTCATTGTTAGCGGCAAGTAGTAATCAACATTATGCATGATCTTGTTATATATTGATAATCAAACACGATAAATAATATCACCTTTCGTGTTGCCTCTTTGAGCTCATGGTTGAGCAGCGCCAATTTTCTCTCCTGCTCCCTCTTCTCTGCGAGGACCGCCTGCTCTCTGCTCACGGCCGCCTCCAGCTGCTGCTCACTCGCTCTCCCCTTCTGCTCGAGGTCGGCGATGGCTGCAGTCTGCTTCGCCAGCTCCGCCTTCAGAGCATCGATCTCGTCCTGGTGCTTCTTCTGCAGCGCAGAGCTGCTCAGGCTGTGGTTGTTGTTGCTCAGAGAACCCGTCGACGACTCGTTCGCGTTCCGGTTCTGTAACAAGTTACCTAGTGAGATTGTTGGTTCTGCAACAAGTTACCTAGTAAGTTTGTTGGTTCTGCAACAAGTTACCTAGTAAGTTTGTTGGTTCTGCAACAAGTTACCTAGTAAGTTTGTTAGTTCTGCAACAAGTTACCTAGTAAGTTTGTTAGTTCTGAAAAAAGTTTACCAGTAAATTTGTTGGTTCCGAAACAAGTTACGCCATGCAGTTGGCATTAGACATGTTGTTGAAACCACTTCAATTACGACTTGATTTCTTTGAAGCGACGTTTAATCAGCATATTTTCACCATTAGATGCGTGATGAGAATAAAGTAATTGATTGATACTACATTGTACCAGATTGTTAGCAGAGTTTCAAATACGCCTCACGCCATTATTTCAGTATGGTCCAATTTAGGAACAAATTTTTCTTGAAATATGGGCTTCCACAGAGAGAATAATGGTGGAGTCAGTAAATTTCTCAAGCCCTTGGAAGGTTCGTAATCCCTTCACTTATTAACACTGAGTTCCACTTAGTGCCTTCAAATTCAATTACAGAGAAGTAAAAAAGTTAGTTATTATACTTCCTAGATGCTATATATTAATTCATAGGGTGCTTATGAATTATCGTCTCTACTACTCAGACTTTAGAGAACAAGCCTTTCTCATGTTCAATGCAACGGGCCAAAATTTTAAGAAAGTAAGCATGTAACTTAGATGACCGTAATACTAAATATATCTTAACTAAAATAGATCTCAAACTTAATGGCTATCTAAGCAAGAAAACTCATACAGGATAAAAGTGCTTCCCCACCTTATTCCAGTCCAATATGATGCAGTTCTAAGACAAGGAGAGGGAAGGGTTAGCTTCAGGGGAAACTATTGAAGCCATAAGAGCTAGAAATTTATTCAAATCTAACATACTCGAATGAAGAGCAGTTATCAAAAAATACCAAGAGTATTTAAACTCAAAATTCAACCGTAATAGTATGAACAATAAGCTTCCACAATTTACAAATGATAGTTATTACGTTACAATAATTAATCCATCTACAAAAAGCCAGCAGAAATTCAATTAAATTAAATTCTACGATTAAACACAAGCAACAACTTGCGCCAGATTTAGTGAAATAAATGCACTGTTTACATGTCCATATCCAGCAGATACACGAGATTTGCTACAAGTTTTGCCGCTTCGTTATCATAGTTCACGTCGTGGATGCAGTTTCAGAACTCATATCAAACGAAATTGGCCGTATCATTAATTTATATTTGTTAGAAATTCGTCTTAGTTGATTCAAGTAAACATTAAATTAACGAATAAAAAAAAATTTAACATGCTAAGTATGACCGTTACAAGTGGATGACAATTGTCCCTTGTAGTGAGTAAAGGTGCAAGACACACAAAATGGATAACATTTAACGCAGTTAGAAGTAATTTTATCCGTAGTGGAGCATTACTACTGAAATTCTAATATTTTTATTATTATATTTGCGTGGAATGTACTTACATTACAAACTAAAGGGTGTAAAAAATTCTCTCTTTTTGTAGGGGTAACACAATAGAAACTATAACCGATGTTAGTATGCATCCATTTTCCTTTAACAAATCACCCCATCAATTTCTTAATGAAGTTTACACAAGACTCACCATAAAGCAGGCCAATTGAGATAAATTAAAACAGCACCCAAACAGCTAATGTTTGGTGGTCATTATGGCCATAAACTAAAAGTAAGCCTCGACGGCGCACGCGCCATGCAGTCTCTTCCACTGCATGATTGCGACTGTCAGCAGCGGGAACAAAAATTGAAGACTTGCCCCCTATGCGTCCACTTCCAGCTCAATACCCACATCCTCATGCCATTGTGAGAATTTAAAGAAATAAAATTAGGTTTTCTGACGCACCAGATCCCTACCAGTTGTTCTAAGGCATTACAAACTTCGAACATCTGAACTAGTGACGCTTAGGTTTCATTCTATGGCAGATGGTGGATGAAAACTAACAATTAGAGACTCACCAAATTGTTTCGAGCGTCGCACGTGTCATCGTCTGGCAACGAACTTGTGAGCAATCTGAGGGGGTCGAACAGGAATGGGGTATTTTTTTACAATGCTCACAGCTATGAAATTATAAACTATAATAATTTACTAATTAAATTACTAGAAAAAATATTCTAGTCACATCGAAATTTCTCACAACATATTTTCAATCTCATTTTTTGAAGCTCTTCAGTTTTTCAATGAAGCTGTTCAATAATTTCAATGCCTATATAAGATCAACAGTCTAGGTAACATAACTTACTAACCTATCACTAACGAGCGAAAACATACATGATAATCATAATAATCATAATGAATAAACAAGATTCAAAATCCAAGAGCCTCAACATTAGCAACGAACCTAAAAACAAAAATGCAATAGCATGCAGCTCGTGTCGACAAAGCAAATAATACCAAATTTAAACCAAAGCCTATGACAAAAGATGCAAATTAGATAATTGCATATAATTATGCAGACCACAATAAACTCACTGGTAGTCCTTGCAGTACGTGAAGCCGACGAAGGGAAGGTGGTTGCCCACGAATGCCTTGACCGTGGGGAAGCTCTCCTCGGGGCTGTCGTCAGGCTCCACCTCCTCAAAGTTGCTCGTGTCGTCGTCTCCGTTGAGGTCAGGGATCACAGGCGGCACCGCTGCACACACAACATTAACTCAAGTTAATTAATTAATTATATATAGCCTCACTATCTCGGCCACGAGACATTAACTGAAGTGGTTTAAGACACATACATACAGACCCACATGTAGGAACTATAGAAGTGTTGGTTCACACATTCAAGATCAATCCAATTGTGTAATTTAATCAGTAATACTATATCATGTACCTATATGTGTATATTAATGGAAAATAGAGGTAAAGACTTTCAAATCCAATATGATAAGTTCACTTGTACATACATTATATTCCTACGTAATTCCACCTGCCCCGCTATCCCGGCCAACAAAACAAAAAAATGCCCTCTTTTTTTTTCTTTGAAAATCGTACAGCCCCACTATCTTGGATTTTTTATTTGAAAATCGACGAAAAAAAGAGGCATGTGTAAATTGGTAACAACTCATTAAGGACGAATTATAGTTGCATAACAATAATATAGACCCACTGAGTTGGTCAATAATTCATTAAACATCTAATTAAGAGCAACAATAAGTCTGGGTTGTCATATCCAAATGAGACTTGGAATAATGTTGACACTAATTCTCCAATACTGTGAACTCAGAAGCGGTTAATAAAGCTTATAAATAATCACTACACTGCAGGCATAAACCAAACTTGATTGTTACCTTAGACTCATCCCCTGCCATACTCTGTGAGCTGCGTAGTATAAAACTAACTTCTTTCAACTGCAACTCACCCTTATTGATAAAATACCTACATAATACTCGTATATATTATATACACGATACTCATACTATATAATATATACACAATACTTGTATATACCGGTAACTCACTTTGGAAAGCTGCAACTCACCTTGACGTATAGTATCGATCGTCCAGGCATCATTAATGAAGAAAGGATGTCGCTTGATTTCGTCTACACCATTCTTGCCCAGCCTCTTCGTTCTTCCAGAAAAATAGAAGTTAGAATCAATTTTCATGTTGAAAACGATCATTAATATCAGATAGAACTCGTGAATTGCGTCTTTAATCCAGCACAATAATAGCTTCGATCAATTACTATAGGTTGACGACCGCTTGCCGGCATTGATGCAGAAGTAAATTGTACTCTCATTTATATATCACAGGGATATTTTATTGTAATTACTAATAAATATTCAATAAAGACAGTATCGGGACTCATAATCGTCATTTACCAGTGACAAAATATATAAACTAAACAAACCTGTCAGTCAAGAAGCCACTAATGAGGCTCTTGGCTTCGTTGGAGATCTCGACATCCTCAGGGAAGCTGAGGGAGTTCTTGTGGTCCATGATCTTGCCGTAGGTGCCCACGAGAGAGTCAGCATAGAAGGGCGTGTCGCCGATGAGCATCTCGTAGAGGAACACACCTACGCTCCACCAGTCGCACTCGCAGCCATAGACGCCCTCGCCGCCCTGCGACTGCAGCACCTCGGGGGAGATGTAGTCCGGCGTGCCTACTGCTGTGTCTGAGCGCACCAAACCATCCTGCGAACACGGTCATTATTGCTTAGGTCTGTGAACACGGTGATTATTGCTTCAGTCTGCGAACACGGTGGTAATTGCTTCAGTCTGCAAACACGGTGATTATTGCTTCAGTCTGCGAACACGGTGGTAAATGCTTCAGTCTGCAAACACGGTGATTATTGCTTCAGTCTGCGAACACGGTGGTAAATGCTTCAGTCTGCAAACACGGTGATTATTGCTTCAGTCTGCGAACACGGTGGTAAATGCTTCAGTCTGCAAACACGGTGATTATTGCTTCAGTCTGCGAACACGGTGGTAAATGCTTCAGTCTGCAAACACGGTGATTATTGCTTCAGTCTGTAAACACGGTAATAATTGCTTCAGTCTGCAAAGACAAACGCAATATTGATAGGCAACACAATAATACTTGAATTAGTGCTGACGTCCACACTGCCGTGTTAGAACGCACCAACACGTCCTAAGAACACAATAATAATTGAATTTGTCAGTCAGCACAAACACAATTTTAATAGTTCAGCAACACAATAACAATTGTACATGTGCTAAATATAAACAGGGTTACTGCCCGCCGTGCCCGAGTGAGCCAGTCCGCCCTGGCAACACAAATTGTGTATTAGTGCCTAATTATTCTATGGACGTCGTGGCAACACAAATTATTTATTAGTGCTTAATTTTTCTATGTATGTTGTGGCAACGCAAATTGTTTATTAGTACTAAATATTTGAATGTAATAAATGGTAAATATACCGTGGAGTTATATTTAATGAGGTTTTCCCTGAGGCCCAATCAAAGGTCCAAACAACGTTTGAAGGATTTTAATCCTAAACGCCAATCAGTAAAGTAACTTGTTCGAAGCTCAGTAACGAAATCAGATGTTACACAACTAACACACGTGTTCAAATCGAATTACAATTACAATTTTGATGGCAGAGAAAATCAGTCAAGTCGAGTTTTAGAGTTAGCAAAGTCACAAGTAGCATACAACTTATCGTAGCCAATATTATTATTTTAACTATATTGTACGCACCTTGTCCATTTTCATACAGGTGCCGAAATCAGCAAGCTTCAGGTGCCCAGTGCTATCAAGAAGCATGTTGTCTGGCTTCACATCCCTGTAGAGAAGTCCTAACATTTAGTAAACTGAAAAGAAGCTTCTAACAAGCACGAGTATATGAGAAAATAGGTCAAATTAGTTTTAGTAGTAATGACTGTAGTCTAATACAGGGTGATTCACCGAAACTTCCTGTTTTAGATTTCGCGCAAAGCAGTCAGATCTTGTAGGAAAAGGGCGGGGGGTTTTTCATATGACGGGAAGTGTCATAAAGTTCTGTGTCTCGCCTAGTCAGTTGCCACTATGCATTGGACAAGTGAGCAGCGTACATTTGCTGTCAAGGCGTACTTGTATAATTACCGTTCCATTGTCGCTACTTAGCAGAGCATTCCGCACTTGGTTTTTTTAATGGTCCTTAAGGACAAGTTCCTGATAGGAAATCGATTGTTACGTGCGTGAACACATTTAGGGCAAGTGGAAGTGCGAAATGCGAATACAAGAGGGTCTGGAAGTTAGCGAACTGCACAACACCCAAAAACGTAAAGAGAGTTAGAGCAGCGTTTCTGCGTTCTCCACACCGTTCAGCACGTAAACACACTGCTATTCTGGGGATTTCCATTTCCAATAGCAATGTGGTACAAATTCACTACATAGAACTGCAATTTCATTCCTACAAATTGTCTGTGGCACAAGAACCCAGCCACGATTTTATTGCTTGCCGAAATGCATGTGAAGCTCCTCTTGAGAACTTGCCTCACGATGCAGTCCTTTTCTTTAGTGATGAGGCTCACTTCTACATTTCTGGCATGGTAAACAGCCAAAACATGAATTATTGGAGTGGGGTTATATATAAACGCAAAGCACGCGCTTATAGGGTAATCTGAATTAAATTTTTTACAATGACTGTCCATGGACCCTACCTCATTTGAAGAGCAACATACGTCAAGTCATTGCCAACAAACCCACCAATATGCTTCTGAGACGTGAACTTAATTTCAAAAATAGACTAACTGAATGCATTGACAACGGGCCGTCATTTATCAGATGTCATCTTTGAAACTAAGTGATAGAAAATTCCCGGTAATTTATTTTTTTCAATAAAATTCATATTGTAATGAATAATGATATCTTTACTAGTTTTTTTATCGAGCTTTCAAATCAGGAAGATTCCGTGAATCACCCCATACAACATGCTGAAGCTCGAGTAACAGATGCCTAGTATTGAGCAATAGCATTCAACCTTCAGAAAATGCTGTAAAAAAAGCATTTTACAAAAAAATCAATGAAAGAAACATTCAAGAAATAAGAACTCTTTCAACACATCATTCCTATTGGTAAACAGTAAAGCTGTTTGAAAATATCTTGCATCCCACCAGACAAAGTGCTGTAAAAATCATTTTCAAATGAAGAAAGAAGTTGACAAAAATTTGAGTTTATCTTCTGAAGGCGCTGTAAGAATCATTTTCAAATGAAAAAAGAAGTTGATGCAAATTTGAGTTTATCTTCTGAATGCACACGAACCTGTGAACAAATCCCAGGCTGTGGATAGCTTGCAGTGACAACACGACCTCCGCGCAGTAGAACTTCGCCCACTTCTCCGGCACCTCGTACGTTGATAATAGGTTTACTAAGTCACCACCTGATGAAAAATTAAATGTTTATATCAGGTTTACCAAATCTGATGAGAAAAAAATGATTTTTTTGCTACAGAAAATATTTTGAAATGAATACGTAAAAATGTAAAAAACAAATGAATAAAGATGGAATATGGTTACATTTTCAATTGAGTGATAATCAGAATTCTTCTAGAAACATTATTAAAACTATTGGTACATATATATCATACGAGTTCAACAACCCAATTGATTCCCAAAGTAAAACAAATATTCAAAACCCAACATAAAAGCGGCATTAAATATATTCTGTCATCTAATCACAACAATAGCAGAAAATCAGAAGTGAAACATTTTAGTGACGCAACTTTTCAGGACATAATTCGCAAGTTGTTCTAACCTGGCATGTAATCCATGACCATGTATAAGAACTTGACGTCCTGGAAGGCAAAGTGCAGCTGAATGATCCACTAACCTGGCATGTAATCCATGACCATGTATAAGAACTTGACGTCCTGGAAGGCAAAGTGCAGCTGAATGATCCACTAACCTGGCATGTAATCCATGACCATGTATAAGAACTTGACGTCCTGGAAGGCAAAGTGCAGCTGAATGATCCACTCAGAATTGGCGTGCGCCATGATGTCTCGCTCCTCCCAGTAGAACGCTGACTCTGACCTCTTTATCATCTCGTATTTGCTTAGCAGCTTCATTGCATAAACCTGACAAATTAAACTCGAGGTAATAACATATTGTAACCAGCCAACCAATTTACTGCGATTTTGTATACCAATTAAATAATTTATTGCATCTATACAAATGGAAATAAAAACACAGTGGATTTTTACCTTAAATACGGGGGTAGTTTTTTGTTCCAGTTACATCCTAAGCTAATAGGTGTTACGTACTATTTATAGTAAGAAAAAATAATATTTGTATAGCGCAATTGCCATATGTTACTGAAGCAATACAAATTCAAAAGGCTAAATTATTGATTGCCAGCTAAATGAAAGAAGTCATACCTTTTTTGTGTGTTTATGGCGAACAAGCTGCACTTCACCAAAAGCCCCTCTTCCTATGACCTTCACCATTGTAAAGTCGTCTGCCTGCATGCGCTGCTCAGCAGCCTTCTGGATAGGGTCGCGATCTGAAAAATCTCTAAAAGTTACACAAAGAACATACATAGATTTATCACGGACTGCCGTATTATATGGCGAGATTAGATCAGAAAATCAAGTGCCCATCTATAGCGAGATTAGATAAGAGAATCAAGTGCCCATCTATAGCGAGATTAGATCAGAGAATAAAGCGCCATCTATAGCGAGATTAGATCAGAGAATAAAGTGCCATCTATAGCGAGATTAGATAAGAGAATCGAGTGCCCATCTATAGCGAGATTAGATCAGAGAATAAAGTGCCATCTATAGCGAGATTAGATAAGAGAATCGAGTGCCCATCTATAGCAAGATTAGATAAGAGAATCAAGTGCCCATCTATAGCGAGATTAGATCAGAGAATAAAGTGCCCATATGTAGCGAGATTAGATCAGAAAATCAAGTGCCCATATATAGCAAGATTAGATCAGAGAATAAAGTGCCATCTATAGCGAGATTAGATCAGAAAACTGAATGCACATAAGATATGGCAAGATTAGATCATTGCAATAAAAAATCGCAGTAAAAAAAAATATCTCTTGCTTGTATTATTTTTATTTGTATGACGCATCAAAGCTGACAGCAGTAAATATGTTATGAGGGAAATTATTTGAACATTCAATCAGTATACCTATATATTTTTATTCTAAGTTTGATGCACACCTAAATAAGTATCATAAAAAGGAAACTAAAAGATAATTCATGATTTACCTAAAGTCAACAACCACAAATTATTAGACACATGGGCATTATCAATAAAACAATGGCATTTAACAAAACTTAAAACCAAGAGCAATAATGTAAATTTATGACGGCAATTCTCACATCTGTTGAGGAAGGCCTGGATATTCTTGTTTCTCCTGACTGCTTGGTGATCACAATCTAGCACCATCGACTGAACTGAGTCCTGCAAATAAAAAAAATCTTTTATGATATTTATAATAAATATTTCATGTATAAATTAATATTTTCTTATTGTTTACAAAAGATAGTACCGGTAAATAATATTTATTATCAGACCAAGAAAAAGCATACAGAGATCTTCTTATGAGACTTATACTGGATGATAAACATGGACAAGTTAACCTTTTAATTGCCAAATATCATTATATAACAAAAATTCATACATTGGAAGTAGATAATTGTAACTTGAAAATTTCAATTGATGAACTTACTACACCTGAGCACAACAGTCTTAATAATAATCACTTTTTACATTTCACACATAATATAAGAAAAAATTGTAAAATAATACATTGTAGAATAATCCAGAAATTATCTTCACTCTAATAATCTATGCAAAAAGAAATTGTAGAATAATCTAGCCTACAACTTATTTTCAAATACTCTATTTTAGTCAATAATTCCAGCCAAGGAGGGAAGATTAATGTTATGTATGGAGTTAAAATGACATCAAAACAATTTAATATGATAATATTGTATTACAGAATGAACATTATTTAAAACAGTCTCACAAATGATATAAAGTATGTGTTGGCAATAACAACAGAGATTTCTACTGACATATACAATTCCTTGCCTACAGAAAGGTTAGCCCATTGTCAATGAATACATTAACCTTCAACACTAGCATTCCTAATCCGAGACCTGGCAGAAATTTTTACCAATCACCCGCAATTCAAACTGTTTAACAAAAAGTTTCCACACAGAAAAACTGAAGCAAGAAGCTCAATATGGTTCTATACACAAAATGGATCTAAATAAAAGTTGTATAAGTAGCTTACCAACAAGCTGTCAACCCCAAGCACCCCATGTGGGTCCGTTATGAGACTCTCAAGCTCTCGAACTCGGCGCTCCCTGTCTTTGTCCATTGCTGCAGGTGAAGTCATCTCCACCATGTATCAACTGTAATAAAAAACATTACAATTATACAATTAGACTGCACATGCAAAAAGAAATTTGCCTGTAGAGATATACCATCAAATGGGGTAATAAGGGACAGTTTTGAGCATTTTTCGTTGATAACTTCTTACCATGAAACATTTCATACACTTTTGAGCTCATTTTACAGGGCTATTGTATGGCATCTTCAAAAAAATTCCACACGATATTCATGAGGTGCCATACACAAAATAAAAGCACCCTGAATTACCCCTGGGAATGGGGTAATCCGGGACACTTGAAATAAAACTTAATTTTAAAACGTTTGAAGCATGCAGAGTGTACTCATCTATTACTAACAGTAATCTGAAGTCCTCTTTTTCCATTGTAGATGATATAGATGAAGAATAATTGACATTTTCTGTAATTTTTATTAGATTTCCTTTATTGATATGTTATATTATATGTGATATTACTGTATCCATGAACATGCCATTGAGCATTTACAATGACCATGTCCACTGCAAGCTTCATATCAGCAGCAATATAATACTTTTCTGTATCTATAAGCTTACAGGACGGCTTGTAATTTCAAACCATTTTAATTGGGTCAAATGACACTATAATAGAAAAAAATCATAAAAACATAGGTGCCTGAAACAGAAACGTATATTATAGTGACAACCATCATATTTCCTGGAGAAATAAATCATAGTGTAGGTTAATTGGCGTTAAACGGGGTAAAAAGGGATGGGCGGGGTAAATCGGGACGCACATCCCACATTTCGTAGAAATGTTGTAGCAGCTAAACTAATCAAAATATTGCAAAACTAAAAATAGTGGCGTAAACTTCAACATTTTTACTACCGGTATCTATTATGTATAAAGCTAGTCAAGAAATCAAACATTTACTATCTCTAAAAAATTGCTGAAAAAAAGTGTGAAAAGTGCGATTTTGGAAAAGTATCTCTGCTAAGGTTTGGAGCAAAAAAAATATTCACCGTATTAAAAAATTTTACTTACATAAAAGTTGCACCCAGGTGTCGGCTTGAAAATGTAATTGAAGGAATTTGCCTATCTCATTCCGAAAAAAAAAATGGCAGCCATTTCCGCACGGCGGGGCTACTCGGGACACCCCCTCTCGGGTAATTAGGGACACCCTTAAAAATGCATTTACAGTAGAAGCTCAGTTAGCAAAGGTTCCAGTTAACAAAAAAATTGATTAACAACAAAGAATTTTGATTACATTTACCTCGCTCAGCAAAAAAATTTACTTATCAAAAAATTAGTGCATCATCGGTCATCACAAAATTGTACATAGAATGCTATATATAGAATTGTGCACCAGGCATCATAGAATGAAAAGTAATTGACCTAAACTATGATTTATTTCTCCAAAACATATGATGGTTGTCACTAAAACATTATTTTCTGTTTCAGGTATGTTTTTCACGATCTTTTTTGTTATAGTGAAATCACTTGACTTAATTAAAATTGTGCGAAATTACAAACCATCCTGTAAGCTTACAGATACAAAAGAAATGCTACATATCTGCTGATATGAAGCTTGCAGTGGACAAGGTCATTGTCAATGCTCAATGGCATGTCCATGGATACAGTAATATCACATTAATAATACAGTAATATAATATCAATAAAGGAAAAACAAGTAAAAATCACAGAAAATGTCATTTATTTTACATCTACATCATCTACAATGAAAGAGGAGGACTTCAAAGTACTGTTAGTAATGGATGAGTACACTCTGCATGCTTCAAACATTTTAAAATTAACTTTTATTGCAAGTGTCCCAGATTCCCCGTTCCCAGGGGTAAATCAGGACGGTTTTATTTTGCGTCTGGCACCTTACGAATAGCATATGGAATTTTTTTGAAGATGCCATTGGATAGCCCTCGCAAAGAGCTATAAAATGAGCCTAAACTTGTTTCTGAAATGTTTCATGGTAAGAAGTTATTAACAAAAAATGCTCAAAACCGTCCCTTTTTACCCTGTTTGACGGTACTTTTCATTTTATCTTGCCCAGTGCACAATTCTATCTATGACATTCTTTGCACAATTTTGTGATGACCGACGATGCATTAATTTTTTGTTAAGTGATGTTTTTTTGCTGAGCGAGGTAAATAATTAAATATAATAAAAAATTTTTGTTGTTAATTGATTTTTTAATTAACTGGAGCCTTTTATATTTGAGGGTCTAATGTAAATGCATTTTTAGGGGTGTCCCTTATTACTCCAAGGGGGTGTCCCCTTATTACTCTGTCCCAGTATGGAATTCTGCATAGGTAATATATTATCATGTTAACAAAAGAAAATGTATCGAAAAATTTACCACCTTACACTGAAGTGACAATTGATACTCAATTACTCATACTCTTACACTGAGCTCGTCAGAAACTGTGGACACCCGGACAGCTGCACTTCCTCTAACTCGCTTGCGTGTGGTTCGAAAACCGATAAAAAGTCGGCAACTCTTCCCTCCAATACATCACTAGTAGAGAAAAATGGGATAAAACGCGCATAAAAAAACTAAGGGGAAAATGAGAAAAGTGATCATCAATTTTTAGGCATGGTCCTTACGAACCGAATGATACGTGTCTCGATGTTGTAGGATGATATTTGTAGGAGATAGATTTTCTAAAGTACCCCTTTTTAGCCATTTTCTATGAATTTCACGTTTTCTATCAATTTTTTTGAAAAATTCATAGAAGCAAAATGTTCTTATTTTTACATTTTACGTATGTATGTGAAGTTTCATGATGATCGGGTAATAACTGTGGAAGTTTTTCCGGAGGGTAGTCGGTCCCCTTAATTGAACGCAGTGCAGAAATTCAAGATCACCTATGAGTATGAATTTAAGTCTCATGACTGGAGATCTCAAAATTTATTGTACTACCACGTATGTTTGATACATAAGCTTTTTGTCCTTTTGATGAACAGAGTTTATTTAGGTTCTATTGACTGTAATAGGTAGAACAATGCGACATATTTGTGGCCATCCAACGATCGGTTGACGGCTTTGACTCTTGATACCACTGTACAAATATTGCGGTGGACATATCTTCCAGAAGTTTCAATGCAAAGATTCTTATTTAAAGGATAATAAATCAATTCGTAGTTGTTTACTCGAATTACTCCCACCTATAGATATAAATGAACATTATTCAATTTATTCTAAACGTTTTTCATGAATTTGCATTAAAATATTTATTTTGAAAACAACCATGTCAAAGTAACGAAATAATTTGTTATAGTTTTAGGCTTCCGAAAATATTTCAAATCTTTATCAGAAATATCATAATTAATGATTCTCTTGCATTGACTATATTAACGTTATGATCCGTGCCGCCGCTGCCGCGATCGTCATTTGTTTTCGCAGTTGTATGCCTGGCGCCTGCTTTTGTTGTTCTATTTAGTCTCGCTCCCATGAATTGCGTGTTTAGTGTATGCATCATCGAAAAGTCTGCTTGACAGCGTAGTCACGGTAGCTGTAATTACTTTATTAAGTTTACTTCTTTGCAGTCATATCAAGATAAAAATCTTTAATGAACAAATACTTTGTATAATTTTAATTGTTGAGTGAAAGCTGCGCCTGCAGCCTTGCTGGCACACAACATTTCCAAGTGAATTACCTTATAGAAACTTAGCATACCCATTCGTGTTTTAAGCCTATAAGAAGTTCATTTTTTGCCTCAAATAATGTTGTACCAAAAAATTGGTGTAGGTGTATCGGGAATAATATATGAACCGTCAATATTAGAATTCCATCTTGCCCTGTCCTGTGGAAATGGATGCCATTTTTTTGGAAAGAGATGTGAGAATTTCATCAATCACGTTTCTAAGTCAACACCTGTGTCAAACTTTAATATAAGTTAAATTTTTTGATATGGCAATTTTTTTTTGCTACAGACCTTAGCAGAGTTAAGTTTCCAAAATGTCACTTTCCACATTTTTTTCAGGGATTTTTTAGAGGTAGTCAGGATGCATACTGGTAACTTTCATGACTTTTCAAAATGAATTTTAAAATTTCATTACTTTTCTATGACTCTCCATGACCATCGACATAATTTTACAAGATTCATACGTATACGACAGGTTTAGCATGACTGAAAGACTAACTGTGCATATTCTATCATCTAGTACAGTTGATAAATAGCAAATGTGTAAATGCATAGAGCAGGCAGACAAAGAGGAACAAAAATGACATGTATCTGCAAAATCAAGCCCACACTGGTATTATTATGAATTCAATAGTATGAATAGTTTGCCTCATGGAGTTGAACTTTGCAAAAATTTTCAACTCCCGCTTTCTCTCCATTGCTTCTGCATGTTCATCTGCTGCTTGCTCAAACGCCTTCCTCTTCTGGATTTTCTGGGCCTTTGCATTCTGCTCTTTCTCTTCTGCCAAATAATTATTGTAGGCTGTTTTGGCACTGCCAGCTGCAAGCAGCATCTTCTTGGTGATGGTCATCTTGCCCAGGCCACCATGTGAAACATGATGAACCACAGCATGCAGCAGGGTTGGCATTGATAAAATCAAACTGATTAAATCATACGATTTTTTTTATAAAAAATAACGATTTATTTAATTTTTTTATTTTTTCATACATTTAAAAATATTGAGCCATTTTGAGTGGCAGTCCTTAATTTATTTTGAGCTATTGTTATTCATGGTTTAGTATAAATGTACTACGGTATGACAAATTGGAATATAAACTTGTTGCCTTTTATGTGTATTAGGTTTCAATGAATTGTATGTTTTTGGTACAGAGGCATCAAGTGTTGAAATACATTGTACATAGCTAGCAGCTTAGCTACCTAATTCTTATAAGGCTATAAGTAGGTAGTCTTTAACTATTTGACTATTTGTTATATATTGATAGCAATACAGCAATCCCTTGATTAGCACGGTTTTGAATACCGCGGTTTTGATTACCGCGGAAAAAAAATTTGCGACCTACCCTTAATCTACGCGGTGCCAGTTTTGATTAGCGCGACTTTTTTTT